CTACTGTATTTACACATATATGTGTGTGTGTGTATATATATATATATCCTTGTGCTTACATGTTACAGACATTTGAACCATAGGTAGAAACTGACCCTTATAAGGAATTTGATAATAATAATGTAGCCAAGTAGAGGCTCTAGTCTGTTCTTTCTACATCTAGTGGTTGCTCCTGAGCACTCCACACAGCTCACACAGTCCACTTTAGGTTTCAACGTAGCAGCCCTCCCAGAACTGTATTAAGGAGCACAGGACCCAAACTTGCATAAGGGTACTCTGTTTTGTTTGTACATCTACATCATTTGGTTATTATTCATTTGGTAACTTCTGTTACTCTGAAGAAATTAATGTGTCTGTCCAATATAAAGTTACTAATACCCAATGAGCTCAACGATTCCATTTGCAAATATTATTATGAGAATTAAAGGCACCATCTTTAGATCTGACTTCTGCTCCAGGAAGTCAAAGGAAAAACAAAAACAAAACCATGAGACCAAAAAAGGGAAAAAAAGAAAAAAAAATCACCTTTGTGGTACTGGGTAATTGATTTTTTCTTTTAGCTTTCCAAAGTAGATAAAATCAACACCTTAAAAGACTTGTCTTTAACCCAGGATTTCTTTCATTAAAGTATACAATTGTGGGCGTGTGTCCTAGAGGAGTAATAGTTTGTCCCTAACAAAAGAGTCTGGATTCTGTGATATGCCTTTTGCCAGAGGCCCCGTTCCCCAAAGCACACAGCTAACTGCATCTCCCGCTGTACCTGTAACAATTTAATTGTATAAGTCAGCCTAGTCAAGCATCTCCGGCTCATGACTGGGAGACATGAAATTCATTGTCATTATTGTCCCTGTCATTTTGGATCATTATATCCTGCTGCAGAATTTTCCTCACTTCAGTGCATTTTTACCTCCAGGAGCCAGGGATTATAGCTGAGGTTGAGGGGGGGCAGGACCGTGAACTACATTTACCTCAGGGGAGCCAGAGATTAAATTGGCTTTGCTCTCTCACGAGCTGAATTCATCTATTTGTATGCTGTTGAGTTTTAGGCTGGAATAAAAATGAATATTCTAGTGAACACTGGGCTTTAATTCCCCCTTTGAAACGTGGATATAACCAACTTTTATTTACATTAGGAAACCTAATGTAATTTCCTGTAGGTAGCTATTTTTATATGTGCATAAGGAATATTTGAGGACATCATTGGGTATGAAACAACAGAGCTCTTTTTCTGTCAGTACCTTGATTCTCAGAAGGAAGAATTTAAAGCTGTAATTTTGTTCTCCAGTTTCATCTTATAGAAGCTTAATGGCAGTATTTAATGGTTTTAAATATTTAATGATTTTTAATTATATCTCATTTTCTGTGCACTGGATTGGATAACTAGGGTCCAACTAGAATGGCACCAAAGATCATACTCTGGGAACAGGAATATTGAAGTCAAGTTGACAGAGGAAGACAAAATAAGTTCCTAGAAAACTGACACCTCCTCTAGAGCTATTCATACTTCCCAGCATGCCGAGACACCCAAGCCTGTCATGCCTTAAATACTTCTTGCTGACCTAGGAAAGTTGGACTAGCCACCATTTTCCCTACCTTATTATGGCTAATGACCATGGACAGCATTCAGCTGAGGGCATTCTGGAAGCAGATGGCAAGGAACAGGTAAGAAAGACCAGGATCGTGTCTCCTTCAGAAAACCAATGAGTTGATTGTATGTTTTCTCTGACAGAAGATAAGAAGAAAATATAACCTGATCTGTCACTTCCTATCCCAACTTTCATTACATATGAATTTTTCTGAGAAATTTGACATTTACTTTGCACTGAAAAAGATGGTAGTTATTCCTCCATATGTGTCAGTTTGTTTTTCAGCAGTTTAACAACAAAATATGGCAATGGATCATACCTATGCCAAGCACATAATAGCCACTCTAATTACTGCATTTAAAAGTATGTGGAATTTATTTTATTGCCCTCATTGACTTTAGTGGAGGAATAAATTTTGCCTTAACCAAATGCGATGGCCATCACTATTTATGTAGGATGAACTACCCTTATGAATAATTAAGAAAACTATTTTGATCTTTGTACATTTTGTACTTTAGCAGGAATACCTTACAGCCCTAACATCTCAGTGCTGAGGAACGTTAAAGATTGTCTAAGCCACTGGTCTAAGCTCAGGGTAATGTTTACTAGAAGGACTGTATTTTCACATATTTTTCATATTTCGCTTTTCAATGATGCTGAAGTAACTGTATAATGAATTACTAGTAAGAGTTTTTAGATAGCCAAACTTCTTGCAGCATTTAGAAATTCAACTTCCTCACTTGTGCCACTTTTTTACCATAATCAAGATTCTCCCAAGTTAGGAGTTATAAAAATTGTTATTTCTGGTCACTTTAAAGTGGTTAATTTTATGTTATGTGGGTTTCACCTCAATAAATATTTCTTAACTAAAAAAACAAATAAACAAGCAAAAAACCAGTTATTTTAATCAGCCCAAATGAATTTTGAAATTATTTGGGTAGCTTATCACATTCTCATAATGATTATTTATAAAGAAGGAATTTTTTTTTCCTGTTAAGAAAGTTTTACCTTATAAATTACAATGTGTAGACCTCATTTGCAATAATAAATGTTCAGGTACCTTTTCCTCTCTGAAATTCTTTGGTGACAGGATGATAATGTTATTGTTTGGTCTAGGGGTAAGGCATTCCTTCCTCTCTCTTGAGCACACACTTACCACATCTAATGCCCTTACTTATCTACTCCTTTCTACCTTACTCCCTCATTGATACTTAATTTGCTCATCACACCATTGGGAAAAACAGGAGTTGCGCCATCTGAGGATACATTTGTGAAACTATAACACTACACTTGCTTCACATTCTTGTTTTGCCTCACCTTAAGCATGACAGAGTTGGACTGAATCATTTCAGAACAAGGATAAAAACATACATATAAGTAAATACACATACATATATTTCAAATGATTAGAATACAATTATTTTCACCCCTTCAAGACTTAAGATTATTATAGTCAAACTTCAAATACCAAATGGAAATTATTTTAAATAATAATTTTTGTATTTTTCAATAATCCTTGCTAGACTTGTAATTTTGCAGCTTGTGACAAGGTATGAAAACCAATTTTAAAGAAATTTTTCTTCCTCTTGCTTCTAATTGGATAATATTTCTTCTGCACATATGACATAGACTTCCTTTGGTTTCTCTAAATAGAATCAACAACAGTCTATAATTCCTAACAATATCAGACCAACAAAAAACTAGGGTGCCACAAATTCAGATATGATATCCACTCACAGTCTTCTCAAAGAGAATCAGATACACACGAGCTAAAAAATAAAACTAGTTAGTGTTTGCTACATCACATGGTAAAGAAAAGGACCAAGTATTTGAGAGGGTTTATGCAGGCGGAATGAATCATGTGAGGCAAAGGGGACAAACTCTTCCTTGTCAGGATGGGAAGAATGCCATTTTCAGAATGCCTTCTTACTAATCTTGGACCAAAAACCTCTTTAATATAATCACCCACTAAACTACAATGGATTAACATTAAGGGTCTGATGCAGAGAAAGCAAATTCACAGTTAAGGTTGTCCTTTAACATGTAGACTCAATCGAGGGTACCAAAAAAATAGTTAAGTGTCCCCCCTGTGGTGCTTAGATGCTGGAAGGCACTGTAAATTGTGAATTTTCTAGCTTTTAATGTTTGTCTAAGACTCTTAACATTTTTCCAATATTGTTGCTCCTAGGACATTTTCTTGAGTTTGTCCCTGTTGCCTCCTCTGTGCATATACACTCTGCGTTCGTACATGAAAGCATGACAGACAGCTCAATTGATTCAGAAATCTAACACTGAGAAGAAGAAAAAAGGTGGGGGTAGCCTTGGGTATATCCCATAATATGAAGTATAAACATCAATGTCTCCTGAAAAAACAAACAAACAAACAAACAAACAAAAAACCCAGAAAACAAACCAAGAAAAAACATTTCTTCATGCTAAAAGTTTAGATATCTAACTTGAAATACAAAAGATCACATAAGTGGGTTTTAAAAAAAAACACTCCAAGCTATAGAGCCTAAGCTGTCCTTTGTGTTCAAAATTTTTAAGATTTTTTTAAACACATACGATTAATTATCTGTGTCCAGCTATTTTTTTTTATAAATGGATAACCATCCCTGGACTATTTTCCAATTCCATACACCCTTTAAAACTATAGTAAAATTTCACAAACGGCTCTTCCTGTTTTGTTTTGTATTGTACAGTGGTCCATCTGGAGATATATGAAGTGGTTAGCTCCGTCCAATAAAAGTGTGTAAAAAGTATATTGTTCACATACACCCACCCCCACCCCCACACACACAAAGAATGAACATGGAACACATGGCAAATGGATATTAGATAATGTTACTGGTAGAAAACATTTAACAACAATAAAATAAGCAATAAAAATTGGGGTTCTGGTTTAACAGATGCAATGTTCATTCATCTACCTTCATCACATAAATTATATGTTCAAGAATTGTGTCCTGTGCAAAATACAAACATGTCAATTTCAGCCCAGGGGGCATTTTTCCTGGGTTTATAACCCCTTGAAAATAGAGGTTTCATCAGAAAACCTAACATCCTCAGCTGCTTTCAACATTCTAATATATTCATAAGGCAAGTATTCGCTGGCAAACATATAACAAATTAAATGGCATGTGGGTGCGGTCCAGATTCATAATGATGGAAAATGAACCAAACCAACCATGAGACACAAGTAGAAATGAAAGAAGAAAAAGAATATGCAAAAACAAACAATACTAAAAGCGAAGGGCCATAGGTAGTTTTTCAGCTAGTATTAGACAAAATGGTGTGTGTTTGTGTGTTGTCTGAGATCAGCATTAAAATTAAGAATGTGAAGCTATCTCATCAAGAACATACTAAAAGGGTCACGAGTCACAAAACTATCGTATTAAAAGAAAAACCACATACCGTCATAGTAGACAATTGCTCCTACCAGTTTGTCCTTCTGGAGCATTGGGAAATGTTCAAGGGCTCTCGATTTGCTGAGGACATAACTGCTCTTCAGGCAATTACTTCCTGCAACCAGATCATATAGCTTGATTCCTACCCAGTAGTAAGGTAGCTGCCACCACCTACAGCATAAACAGGGGGAAAGGTTTCTTGAGACACAGAGCAGAACATTACAGAATGCCATTAAGTTATAGTATACTTTTCATTTAAGAAAAGCAATGTATATCTAGAAGTGTACTTACTGCAAAAGAAACAGGAGGAACTGCATGACTGTTTTTGACACCAAATGAGCTAAATTATATAAGTAAATGAATCAGTGAAACTTTAAATGAATCATTCCTAAGACAGTGCTTCTTGACCTGGCCGAGTATGAGAATTCCCTGGAGAGCACCAATACCTGGGCCTCACAAGTCTAGAGACTTATTTAAGTGGATGAAGGGCGGAGCCTGGGTGACTGTCATGTGCACCCAGGGTAGAGGTTCGTTGGTTTAAGACGTCCTAAGCCATCTACAACAAAATACGGACAAAAATGATCAAAGCTGTTTCTAGGCACTCACAACTCTCTTGTGCCTTGCAGATGCATAAATCGCTGCTTCATACTACTTGTGTTCCAACTTAAGGCAAGTTCATGGACAGCTGTAACAACATCAGGAACACTGGATTTTATAATGTATAATCTGACACCTCCAAACCAAACTTCAATGTAGTTAATTTGGAAATTTAAAATGAGCCAAAAAGGTTTAGGCTGGGAGTTGGTACATGGTTAAAGGTTCAGATTTTGCAGCAGGATACCTTTTGACTATGCATTTTTGTTTGCAAATGCCCCGTCTCTGTTCCCCACTGTAAATGCAGTTGCCCTTCTAGAGAGTCTCGGTTAACTGGGGTAAGAAACTACTAATTATAAACACAGAAGACAACCTCCTCAGCCTTCAAGATCTAGCCTTTAGAGATGGGTCAGAAAAGGGTGACTTAGGAAAAGCCACATTTTTTAAACACAACAAAGGCAAACATTTGAAAAGGATTAGAGATTAGGACCAGTTAAAAGTACATTATGAAACACACATTGAGGGACTCTTTCCATTAAAACGGTGTTGTTCTATTGACCTCAGTGAAGCAAAGAGTATACAGATGATATCAAAAGCCTTACTTGTAAATTGGAAGCATTATAGGCAACGGAGCTGATAAATGGGGAGCAATTTCTAGTAGGTTGGCACGCTCGTGAAGGGCTTCTTTTACCATCCTATACTGAAAAGCAAAACAGAGAAAATTAGTTTGGCAGTAACAGATCATAATATTTTCAAATGGCAAGTAGACACCCCGCCAACCGATTGATACACAGAAACCTCTCTACCTCTGAGTGAGGATAGCTCCCTCCTAATCAAATTTCTAATAATACATCATGCTGTCAACCTGAAAGATTTTTTAGAAACCTTAACTGTATTTGCATAGGAGAAAAACATGCTGTCAGAGTTCCCAGGTGTAAGATCTTTTCCTGACTTGAGTTACAAGATTATTGTAACAATTTATCTTGCATTCTCTGTATTGTCGGCCTTCTCAGTCCTATTTCCTCATGTAAGAAATTACAGATTGTTCAAGTTCACACTAAATGTTCCCTCCTTGCCTCCACTAATACAAGCAGAGATAATACTTAGGAGCTGCCCAGTATTTTATAGATTACAAGAAAGATTTTGTCTTGACTCTTTTCATCTTCATTATGCCTCTCTGAAAAGCCAGCATTACTATTATAACACTAATGTAAAAATGGGAAAACTGAGGCTCTTGGACATTGAATAAAGAAGCTGGAACACATCACAGTCGTCTGATTCTAGGCCCTCTGCTCTATTCTTTCCATCCAGCATGATACCGAAGAGACATGGGAGAAAAGAGGACGCGTTCGAAACTGACAATGTCAAGTTAGCACTGCTGTGTTTTTCATGTACCAGAAGCAGATAGGGAGTTCAGCTGATTTTTTTTTTTTTTTTACCCCCTGGGAAATGTCATCTTCCACACTGCCTTGGCAGTTTCCAAATGGTGGCAGACTGGACACAATAAAGTGTGACATAAGAAAAGCATGACTCAGATCATCTTTTCCTTAGGAATATGTCAGTGGCGATATGAGCGTATGATTGCAGTTACAGTTAAGAGGATCAATTTAACACCTGTATTACAACACGGCCTCCCCCCTGAAACTGTCTGGAAAGTAGCAGTTTGGCAGCCATTGGCAAAACAAACATACCATGGCAATTGTTAAAATGCAACATATCCAAAGGTGATTTTGTACATTTGCTACCTTGACATGCCTGCGTGCAAAAAGCCCCTGATTACCCATAAACATGATGCTATGGGAAAGTGCCCGCACATCTTTCATGAAGGATATTCCAGCAGAATACACATGAAATAGGTATTTCCAACAGGAAGAAATGTTAAAAGCCATAAAAAAAAAAAAAAAGATTTAATTGGGTAGAAAAAAGCAAAGTCGCAATTTTTGTTTAACAACCAACATACACAATTACCTGCTCAATATCCAACTTCATGATAGCCTTCTGAAGATATCTCACACCACCATGGATCAATTTAGTGCTTCTGCTGCTGGTCCCTGATGAGAAATCATCTCTTTCTACAAGGGCTGTTTTTAGTCCTGTGTAACCAGAAAACCAAATTAACTTCTTAAATTACCAATTTGTATGTAATTCATTAAAGGCACTTCTCCAGGGTAGAGACAATCACAAGAAAAATTACTCTGAACATGGATAAATTTGTATTCAAAGTGCAGTACACTGTCTATATTATAATGAAGAGATTTTAGCCTCTTCCTGGGGGAAAAGTCAAACCAGAACTAGAAGCATATTAAACTGTGAATGAATCACAACTAGAAAATATTTGAGTACAATTTCATGGCAGTAACATACTCCAGGGCATTTAGAAGGCCAAAGGAGAGCCTGGCACCCATCCTGACCAATGCAGTAAACTCAGTGTTGTGTCAAAGCCCTGTGGAACTCACATTCTTCCCTCACTACAGGTCACTCACGCATCCCAGCCCCTCATCTCCCGTCTACTCTAACACGTCATCCATAAAACTAGACCAGACCTCCTACGTGCTGGCTACTGGAGGGGGTGGTAGAGTGGGTAAAAATTGGGGGGAAAAAAAGACCAAAGGCATCAATAGTGAAGAAGAAGGAAGAGAATAACCTTTGACATTGAGGGATTTATAGGCTAAGACATGCAAGCACAGTATTATAGAATTACACAGAAAAATACAAGCCAGGACAAATAAACCCAGTGCAGAGGATCCATGAGTAAAGACAAGACAAGATTCTTGGTAAAGGTGAGGCTGAGCAAAGATAGGTTGGTTCTAGAAGTCATGTCTCTGCCCCTTTCTTTGAGGGTTGCAATAAATCTCTTAGGGATGAAACCAGCTTTGTTTTGTTTTCTTTTCTTACAAAGCCATTCCTGCTTCTTAGGATTGGGTAGGAACCCACAGAACTACAAGTGTCATACACTAGTTAGAGATGAAACCCCAAACGTCAAAAGATGAAACATATCTACCAACACCAAGCCATGAGGAATTTTCAGTGCCTGGCATACTCATAGGGAATGAGAGAATGTCACAGAGTCCAATTACAATGAGAATATGTAACCGGAAAAGTTTGGGATCACACAGCTCATGTACGAGAATCTGTGCATATTTTCAATTCAGAGCCATTTATTACATTTAATACCAAAGGGTCGTTTTTATAACTTTTAACAGTTTAAATATCGTACCCAAATGTCATCATAAAATCAGGGCAATTCCCTTGACTCCAAAGGACAAAATATTTGGAAACCATAGAGGAAAAGGAGAGAACTTTGATTCAAGGGCAAAAGTGCTAATGCTCTAACTGACTAGCAAAATAACACAGAAATTACAGGTATTATAGCCCCAGGTCACACTTTTGTAGCATTTATGCTAGACAAAGATCTGTCAAAGTCTCGACTGTGAAAACTCTATCAGATATGCTTAGTAAATTCAGTACTGAATATATTAAAAAAAAAAACAGAAAAATATGTCAAGTTAACACATATATTTTAAAAGAATATGGAGAACATAAGTGCCAGGCAAAGTGCTGGCATTAGAAATGAATTTGGCATGGACCAAGCTGTCCAGCAGCTCCCAGCTCAGAGAGAGGTCAGTAAGTGCCACAGTTTTCCAAGCGCTAGATTTGCAAATACAGAGAACTCTTAACTTAGTCCGGGCTAGAAATTAAAATCAGGACATAAAGCTAAAATTGCATAGTCCAGATTACATTTGTAATCTCTTAAGAATGCTTGCCTTGGTGAGCTTTTTCACTTTTCTTAGGAAGTCCAACAGAGAGATCTTCTTCCAACACTAAAATAGACCATTGTGTCTTCAGGTGAAGATCAAGTGAGGAGCTGACTTTCAAAGGGCATTTAAGAGCCAGATTATTTCAACTATACCCCTCATTTAACCTTGGAACCCCAATCATGGCACCGAGATACCTGCCCCACGAGAGGCAGGGACAGGAGAGTGCAAGAGCCCCCCCGTCCAGCCCCTGGCCTGCCCCCTGTATTCCCCACCTCCTAGCATTGATCCCCACCCTACCCAGAAGCGTGGACTGGACCTAGCGCCTTGCTTCTAATGAACGGAATGCAACAATTTTGACCTGTCACTTCTTGATTAGGTTACAGAGGACTGTGACTCCTCTCTCTCTCTCTTGCCCACACTCTCTCTTGCCCTCTCTTGCTTACTAAGACGAAGGAAACTATCATGTTTTAAGAGCAGTGACTAAAGGAGGCCCCCAGGCCACAGGTCACAAGGAACTGAGGCCTCCATTGGACAACCAGTGAGCAAGTGAATCTTGCCAACAACTACAGGAGGGCTAGGAGGTGCTGCATCCTGTTGGAGACTCAGAACCAGAGAACCCAGGGTAAGGCAAGGCCAAATCCCTGACCCACCAAAATTGTTGTGATAGCAAATGTCATCTTAGGCCACCAAATTTCAGTGTAGCTTATTGATTGCACGATTCCCCATGCGAATAATAACTGCAGTCACAGTGTAAGTTTGTAATCGCACATCGGGTTAAGTTTATGGAGGAGTATGTGTTCAAGATAGGAGGGGAGGGAATGATCACTGGCAAAACAAAACAAAACAAGTACTTAAGCAAGAGAAAGGAAAATGCTTGAGATGGCCGAGCTCATTTAGGGGCTGCTTGTCACTCAGGGGCTGAGGACGATGTGAAGGAGATCCAGGGGCAGGAATAGTAAAAGGTAGATCACAAAGGACTTTTCATCCACACTGGGGAATTTGGACTCTGTCCTATGGGCCACTGTTTCTCACAAGTAAGTAATATCTGAGTTTCCTGAAAAAGAAAATGCCTTTGAAACCATGGCTCCAAGTCTGGGATTCGTTTGAGAAGCACATGCTTTGTCAGAAAGTACAAGATTTGGCATCAATGCCAAAGAAGGATGAGCCTGAACACTGTTCTCAGTTCCAAGTTATCCATTTTGAGGAAGGGTATTGCTGGTTGCTTTTTTTATTATGGTGATTATAAAAAAGGAATAAAATTTCAATTTTTCCAGAAATTCTTGGATATTGTTTTGAGAAACACGATTGTGCTGTCAGGGGAAGCACCAAAGCATTGTAAGCTGAGACATCAGATTACTGTTCTAGAAAGATCGTTTTGTAGGGGTGGAGGGAAGGGGTGGAGGGGAGAAGAGAGGGGGCAGACCATTTAGGGGATGTGTGCCATATAGTAGGAGCAGGGCAGTGAAGAGTCCAGCCTCACAAGTGAAGAGAGAAATTTATGGGCTTGTGTTATCAGGATATATATTTTTTTTTCCTTCCTAAACTGACAGAGTGTTAGGCAGGGAACTACTCTAGGAATTAGCAAACCATCTCAGGAGGATATTTCAGGATATGTAAGTGAGAGCTAACACTTCAAAGCCTCAAAACTGCTTTTGCAAGTATTGGACATTTAAAAAAGTTATTCACATGTATTTATGTGAGAAACCCTAGTGAATACCAACAAAAGTTAAAATGGGCTTCTCTGTCAAACCAGGCTGTTTTGCTTGTCCTATTATTTCTAGTGTCATATCATCAAGCTACCCACCAGAATTTCTGGAGCAAAATGATACTGCTTCTTCCAGAGCAAAAAAACATAAAAATGTAACCTCCAAAGTTACAGCTAAATTGATATATTCATGTAATCTAAAAGTATTTCCAAAAGTTTCCAGAACAACACACACAAAAAAACCCCAGATATTCAGGGAGAAAAAGAAAATATTTTTAAATTTTCAGCTGCTATTATACACCAAATGTTTTCTAATTTTTATTGAATGAGCACAATGGAGTGAGGGAAGAGGGAACTGAGGCAAAATCAAGACATCACTAGAAGTTCTGTTTCTCACAAATATATTTTTAACTGATTAACCAACTATAGCAAAGACAATGAAATTTTTAAAAGCCTTGTAATCTTGCACAGTTGCATTATCTACTATGTTCCTGTTTCACCCCTCAAAAATCCAAAATTTTCCTTGCCTCAAAATTTACTGATCCAAAATTAAGAGCTCAGTTTTCTGATACTTCAAGTATAAAACAAGGAAGTGAAAAGAGGGTACTGTTTTACCTTCTTAAAGACAATGAACAGTATTTTTAAGTGACATTTAATGCTAACATTTTATGTTCTTGGGTAAAATAATTAAGTTTGAAGGACATCAAAAATAATGTACTGAGGCTTCAAGCAACTACTGCTGGCTCTGGATTTGAGGCACTCGGGAAGATCTTCCCTCAGAGTAAATAAAGAACGGCCTCCTTACGTGCCTGACAACGAAGGGCTGACCTCTCCGTGCATTTACAGTAATTCAACTTAATTAGTTCAAGATTTTATGAAGAATAGTTTTTTTTTTTTTTTCTTTTCTTCTTAGCAGTTCCTTTTTATGGAAAGCAATGAGCTCTGTCGCTTCTGAGATGAACTAGAACATTTAGGAGGGGTACTATTATTTTGTTTATTTTTTAATTATTGATTGCTTTCCATAGGTATTCACAGCAATTTCATGACCGTGGTGAAGTACTAGTATTTGGAGTGAAATGACTTTAAAATCTTAGATGGGTAACTAGGTTAGCTACAGTGGAAGAATAAAGTCCACGGAAATCTGCCTTTACCATAGTCTTCAACCCATCTTTTAGCGAGTTCGGATTGTGTCCTGAGGGATGTGTGGCAAGAGGCATGAACTATATAAGGCTCTTTACAGCTTTGCCTTTGCCGACCCTGGTGAGAACATCTAGATACCAAGCACTTTCAACTAAACCAATTTGTGGCTCAAGACAGTTAAATGAATATGGAGGAGTAATTACCTTCTAAGGGGAAGAATAGTACGACATTTAACTTTCACAATGTGATATAGAACAGAAGTATATTTTAATACCTTTTACTGATTATCTTATTATGCATGAAAACATGCTCAATATAATAAATGCGGAGATGTAAAGAGAACAAAATAAAGCTCTCCTGTAATCGCACTGCTTAGAGATAACCATAGCTGACATTTGTGAACATTTAAACGTTCGCATTTTCTATGCATGTATATAATCACATATGTACATTTTTACAAAAATAGGATCATATGATATATTCCATTTTT